GAACTCCTGAGCTATTAAAATGCGTGAAATTCCTTGTCTGCTCATTAATTACATTCGATTTTTATTGTCTAGTTTCTCAGTGAACTCACAAGACTCTTTGACAAGTCACGTCTGTCAGGCTCCGTCGTTTTAACAATCAAAAGATGTAAGGATTTGTTATTAAAATACTTCTCCGAGTTTATTCTACATTATTAATTTTAATTAACTTTTTTTTAAGTCAATGGACACAATAGGCCGGTGCCCAGGGAAGGAAAACAACCTCTACCTAAACCTTATGAGTTCCTCTGTCTCGTCAGGGCGACGTTACGTTCCAAAAAAATTTCTACTGTTGTAAGGAATTAATTGATTGCTCCAGTGGGAATCATTAAGGGTTATACAGGTAATTAATTGAATTTTCTCTTTTCCAGATACATTCCAAGGATGTAAACAAATTCCAGCAAGCGTATTGGAATCTCCTGAAATCCAACATAAACGGACTAAAAAAATTGAAAAAAATCAAGTCAGCAAAACCGAAAGCCACTTGAGTCTATATATTTATTTTCTAAGTAATTAAAAAATTATATCATCTATGAAATTTGTATAATTTCCCACAAATCATCGAGCGAATACTCACGTGAATTTTTCAGTACGTAAGAATGCGCAAGATCTATTGAAAATCTCAGAATTTATTCAATTGCCTCAGTAACCCGAGAATAAAAAACAAATATTTCAATTTTATTCAGAAGATAAATGATTTTATTCAAAATTGTTCCACTAAAGCTCTTGTTTCACCGAGTCAGGAATTTTACTAATGTAAAACGCGTGATTCTCCCCTGGAGCTGTTGCCAGGACACCTTTTGCATTTGGATGGGGGGCATTGGAGTCATAAGGATATAAGTTCCCGTGCAAATCAGTGAGATTTCCACCTGCAGCTCTGAGAATGGCCTCAGGTGCGCAGGTGTCCCATTTTTTGCAGCCAGGACTAGCAAAAACGTATGCGTGGGCCTTCCCCTCGAGCAGGAGTACCACTTTGTGGCCAGCACCTCCAACCCGGAGAATTTCGTCAGGACACATTGCGTCCAGAGCTGCCTGAACAGTTTTATTGGAATGTGATCTGAAATTCCAGAAGCAGGTGCTAATAATAATATTATTATTATTCCATAATTACAAAAATGGTTCAAATGAATTCTCCAGATGCTTACCGAGTGGTTGTTATGATTCTCCTGTCCTGTGGAGGTGACAGGGGATTAAATCCACCCACTCCGACCCCTTCGATGCCCCACAATGTCCTCCCCAGAGACGATGTCTTCGGATTTTTCGAGTAAGGCTGATGAATGACTCCTCCAACAGCTTTTTCTCCCACTGCCACTCCAACGAGGACTGTCACGTGGTCCAGGAGGCCCTGGGTGAACTCAGAAGTCCCTGAAGAATAATTTCCATTATGAATTTGAATAAAAATCGGAAAAATCAAAATTTTACCGTCCAAAGGATCGACCCAGACAGAAATGTCCTTGGGGGCGATGTTCTCCAGGTGTTCTGGCAGTTTGACATTCAGGATTTCCTGGTCCATATCCGTGACAATCCAGTGAGGTGGAACTTCACACCTGGAGGTGCCCTCCTCACCGATTATTGTCACTCCTGGAAACTGCCTGCTGAGGGACTCAATGATGCAATTCTGGGCTGACCTGTCTGCCTCTGTCTGCAGATCATTTTTACCTTTTTCCACTATATTCAGCTCGCCTTTGTTCATCACATCCCGAATTATTTTTCCAGCCTGAACCACTGCACTCACCGTTGAGGCCATCAGGCGAGTTATCAAGGGCTGACAGTGAGCCATTATTTGAGTTCTTTACTGATGAATAAATTAATTAATCAGGGAATCAATCATTAGTCCATTTTTTCTTTTAATTATTCTCAATATCAGAGAAGGAAATTGTCACACACGTCACGAGGATAGACTCTGTCGATAAAAAAGACACTGGCAGGTCAGCTGATCGACAGCTGGAGTACCTGCAAGGGGTGGACACGTGGGTGCATTATGTGTAAACAATCGCCAACGCTCCAGCGTTAAAAAAAGGGCAATTTTTTTTTATTCAACTCCTGGAATTATTTTCCAGATGCTTCGTCGTTGTTTTTCTCTTGAAAATCGGATCGTCCTCTCCTCGAGTCGTCAACCTTCTCGATCGACCTCGGAAAATGCACCCAAACAGAAAAAAAACCCTCAAATTCCGAAGGATTTTCCCTCGGAATTCGCACTCTGGGACGGGTCGATAGCAAATCCCCAGGACCTTCCCTTCGACGTGATGAGAAGAACTAGAAATTTCACAACTCTTCACCTCCTGGACAGGGATGTCTCCAAGGAATTCTCGTCCCTCGTTATCGATCAAATCCCCAAAGAGAACACATTCGTAGCTGAGATGAACCCTGGCCTTGGTCTGATAACCCGGGAGCTCCTGGAGTCTGGGGTTTCCGTGGTTCACGCATTCGAGAAATTCACGGAATTTATGCAGTGGCTTCACCCCCTGGAGGGTGTGTACCCAGGACGTCTGCAGGTCAGACACTACAACTTGGCGACATTGGCGAAGACTGCATTCCAGGATGGAAAACTCAACACCAAGAACATGGACAAGATATTCCAGGGGATGAGAAAGAAGGGCTGGAGTGAATCTCCTTCCCTCACCGTCGTTGGGTCTGTCGCCAATATTTCGTTTCTCTATTCCCTCAAATGGATGCTCATCAATCAATTCCTGTCTGACTACGGGAGGGCTGTCCTCTACGTCGCAGTCCCTCCTTCAATTTCCTTGGTGATTTTTATATCCGTTTATCGATTATTTATTCGAATCCACATGAATTTTTCCCCTCGGTTTTAGGCATTCATCGATGATCCCAAGTTGAAACACTTTCACAGAGCGAAGAACGTCCTCCTCAGGACATTTTTTGATTTCAAAAAATTGGGAACTCTCCCCAGGAAGGCCTTCTTCCCCTGGGAGCCAGAGAATCACTGGAGGAAACGATATGTCGAGTATTACAAGAGAGACAGCGAAATCATGGATGTCGTGAAGATCGAGACAAAAGAGGATTTCTTCTCTGAAAACTTCAACCATCAGGACGCCATAATTTTTTACTACTTCCTGGCAATTCACATGAGAAAACAAAATACCAGGATCATCCCATTATTCGAGTGAGTGAAAACTTTTTTTTTTCCCCTTAAAAATGTTTATTACCTAAACTTTCAATTTTATTTGACAATTGTAGACATTAAAATTTTCAGTACAGATTTTTCTCTCTTGAATCTCTCTAGGAAATGGATTCCAGGCTGTGGCCCTCGGCTGATCCGAGAGGACTACGATATATACTCCACATTCAACGAACTGAATTCCGAAGAACTGCTCCATTTATTCAAGATTTTCAAGTCGTGGCCGGAGTATGAGACTAGTCCCTTCATAAATTTCGTAGAATCAATCATTCAAAGTAGAGAGTCAGAAGAGTAATTACTCCATTTATTCTATCTTTTAATTCTTTCTCTAATTATTACTTCAAAATTCACGCAATGGAGGTGACAAAATAAATTAGCAATAAATCACAATAACATAAACGTCAATACGCCATTGAATAATTGAAAAATTGAATTTTCTATTTGAATTCCCCCCGTTTTATCAATCGACTAAAATAAAAAAAACAGTCGTTATCCTCTCCCATCTCTCTCGGTGGAGTCATCTAGGAGAGTGTAGGCAGGGCGATAGCAAGTGGGTGAATCAGGCAATTGGAGGAGAGGATTGGGAAAAGTCTTCGTCCTCTCACCCAGACTGGTGTATCCCCTGTCATAGAGAGAGCAGTAGGGCACCTTGTGCTCCAGAATAAATTCCCAGACGTCTCGATAGCTCCAGTCGAGGATGGGGTGAATTCTCATGAGCTCGGGCCAGTCAGTGTCCGTTGGCTCGAATGCCTGGAGATTCTCCGAGCCAGGGTCACCCCTTCTCACTCCCAGAATGCCAGCTTTCAAGTTTTTATTCTCATTTAAATAAATACCCAGTGCGGATATCACTGGCTTCTTCATCCTGATTACTTTCAGGTTGTAGTACTCCGAGGCTTTCTCCACGAACGCGTCCACCTGTCGAGGGTTTTGTGTGAAGATTCTCTCGTGATATTTTTCATTTCACAGAATATTCTTTTTATTTGGATTTTTTTACCTCGGGAAATGGATCTCCTGTGACATAAAGACACGTGAGTAATTGAATCCCTCGTGAAAGAAAAACTGATGCAAGAAGATGGAGAACAGCTGTGCAGTCCTTGCCTCCGTTGAAGCTCAAGAATATCTCGTCGCAGTTGTACCTGAAGACAGGAATAAACGAATTAATTGACAGTAGTCCTGTGCCTCTCAATAATTTATGAAAAATAATTCACCTGTCGAGACACTGCTCCAAAATTACAAGGGAATATCTGACACGAGGATTTCGCCTTCCTGCCTCGATGACAGCCTTCGCCTTCTCCAGAGTGAATTGATCATTCATAACCATGACTGCAACAACAAATTTTGTTAATAAAAATTTCAATATCTCATATTTTACAGCATGTGGAGACTCACTTCGTTCTCGAACTGTCAGTGATTACTTCACCCGCCACGTGTCTCTAAGAATCCGATGAATCACCGAAGAAATAATTTACTAACTGTCATGCCTGCGATTTCTCTGTCACAATTTTTTCCTCCAGGTGATTTCACCTGTCAGGTGAACAACAGAGAATTCTAGATAAAATAGAGATGATGAAAACTTTACCCGCTAGAGAACAATTGCAACAGCTGCTAATGTGAGATCTTCACAGATGATGAAAGAATTCGAGAAGAAAAAACCGGTGGTTATTTCAGCTTGATCACTAGCAATAATATTTATTGTTGTGGCAAAAAAAATAACGGAAGAGTGAAGATTAATGTTTTTTTGTCATTGAGATCATCCAGATAAGAAACGCCATTTTTTTTTTGTCACCCCTCTCCTTTTGGTGTATTTTCATCTCTTCTGAAGCTTTCGCAAGAGAAAAATTGGGTAAAACATTGAAAGTTTATGACAAGCTGTAGCTAATTCAGCAATTATTTATTTATCTGGTGGATAAAAAAAGAATTCAAGGTGGAGTTGATGAAGGAGTGAATTTTGGTTATTTTTTTCGAGGATTAACCTGAGGCTTGAGTGATCCTAACCACACATAACCTGGCGTTGGTGTTTGGGGGATTTTTGTTGATTTCATTTCATTTTTTTAAAGAAAATTAAAATGTCTATCAATACCGATTGGGACGTGGAAAAGCACAGGGTCGAACACGAGTGCGACGAGCACTGGGAGTTGAGAAGAAATTTTCTCGAGGCCCACAAAGACAGATTTCCTGAGGATGAGCTCGTGTGTCTGGCCCAGGTTTTCACGAATGTCGAACTACTTGGATGCAGGTAACCCGGATTTAATTTTACTCAAACCCAATGCCATTTGCAAAAAATTCAAAGATGCAGTATAAAAAATACAATTAATCTACAGATATCCAAAGGAGACTATGGATTTAATAGCAGAATTATCTGAAGATGTTGCCAAGGATTACAGGGCGAGACAGAAAACGAAACTGCAGAGGACTTTTGTGAAAGCATCAGATGCTGCTAGCTCAAAAGTCAAAGGTACATCGAGAAATTGTGAGTAGAAATATGCGAGAATGATATTCACTCAATTTGAGTTTAATTATTTGTCACTTAAAAGGACTCAGAAATGCCCAGCACTCGCCAGCCACTGGGGCCTCCAGCTCCCGGTCCCCAGAGGCAGAAGAGCCTGAAAAAAGGCCCAGCAAAAGAGCGAGGCTGGACCACGAGCAGCCCTTCGGGAGTTTAGTTTTAATTCAATACCCCAATACATCTGCCCAGGGAATAATCGATTCCTCCACAGCTGTCAGTGGAGAAAAAGCCGAGTGGAAGTACGAAATTGATTCGAAAGACGTGAAGTAATTATTTTCAGACTATTCAATTTAAATCATTGAATTATTTCTTATAATTAAAATAAATTGCTCTTGCAGCATCAATCGATGTAATTTATCGATCTCAGGAAAAAGGCTGGTGGAAGGTGAGGGAAATACGAAGAAGGCAGCCAGGATGAAAGCTGCAGAAAAAGGTCTGGAAGTTCTTCGAAAGTATTATTACCTGATAGAGGTGAAGGAGCAGTGGAGGGAGGGACTGAATTCCAATACAAATTTCAATGAGAAGCTGAATGGGGAGAGAAAACCTGACGAACCCCAGAAAGAGTGCCTTGGACAGGACAATGTTGGTGCCAAATTGATGAAGCTCATGGGCTGGGCTGGAGGGGGACTCGGTAAATCTCAGCAAGGAATCACTGAGCCCATTGAAGTACCTAGGAAAATATCCAGACGAGGATTTGGTGTGACCTTGAATCAGAGCAACAGAGTCCACTTCAAGACGAAATTCAAAGAAACTTTGCAGCAATATATCAATGATGGGGCGACACATGACCTGGTTTTTTCGGATTTTGATAATGAGGAGAGAGCACTGATGCATCAAATAGCGAGAACTTGCGGTCTGAAGTCCCACAGTCGTGGGGGGAAAGACCAGAGGACGCTCCTCATCTCTAGGAAAGTCAATCCCAAGGATCTGGTGGACGAGCTCCTGGATATCGGTGGCACCAGCGGGAAATACGAACTAAAAGCACCTACTGGCTCGTGAACATCACAACTTTTATTATTTCTCCTTTATTCTGTTAAAATGACAAATTATTATTCCCTCTTTCATCGAGAAGAACATCTATTCTGACTTTTTGTCATGTCACAATTAAAAATTTGAGGGGACAATGCCTTCGATTACGTAATTGTCATTGGGATTTTTTTTT